TAGCCAGGTGAACATGGGTTACACAGGGGTTTTCTCCTTAACAAGTGCTTTGTAATTTGCTTGTGGGATTAGTACTGTAGTAGCGTTCTTTTTCCCTCAAGGGGGCATTGTTACGCTATGGGCAGCGGAAAAGGGAAATCGCGTGTGAGAGCATAGTTTTGCCGAGACACCAGAAACAAGGAAGTGGCAGTACCAGGAGGTGACTGACTGCCGTGGTGTGTATCTTTGTTTATGTTTCAGATAAATATCCCTATAAATTTCGGTAAAATATGAAAATGGTTATAAGGGTCAGCAGATGAGATAACGATTAATTTAGAAGACTTAAGGCTGATTAATGATGATTTTGTATTCCTGACGATTTCTGTAGATCTGTAAATGAGTTTGTGTGCGTATCTCCGCCACGCTGAGGGCAACACTGAACAGCGGGGTTAGCAGGGGAGATATATGCGTGTTGAATTCCAGGTGTGTGTCTTGGAACACAGGCTGCACACTGGAGTGAAAGTGAGTTAATTGTACTACTAAATTGTTTCTGAATTGTAAGAATGTGTAAATGAAGAGAATATTTTGTATTGAATGTATTTTTATATTTCTCATGGAATTGAAGTATTTTATGTTGAAGTGACTATGAGTTACGTGGCTTAACAAATGTTTTTATTTTCTTTATTTAGAGAGGTGCCACTACTGTTGTCTAGAGTTAGCTAATGTCTGAAGTTCAGTTTAATGAAGTAAATGAAGCTGTATGAGTTTGAGCCTGGTAACTGTAGCTGGGGGTAGTCTACATACACCATTGTTCATCAACTGCTAAGGAGAACTGTTAAAGCAGATGCTTGTTGCCAGACAAGGAATAGGGAAAAGTTATCATTCCGTTTTGTTATATCTGTCCTAAATCCTCAAGAAACAATATTAATGCTGTTCTTTATTAAGCTCAGTCGGGGAATAAAAGAACCCACAAAAATAATTTTATTTGTGTACGGTCTCATCATTCGTGACCAGGCCACACATTTTGGTGTCAGAAGTGGGATCCCCTGTTAGATTTTGAGGTTTTAGTTTGGATAAGGACAGTGGGCATCTAGACAACAGTAGTGGTGACCAACAGTCCAGATCTGGTACCAGAGGGTGTGACGTCGGCCGGGTGGTGTTCCTGGAGAGGCGGTCTGTAACCCGTGGCTGGTGGGCGAGGACGAGAGGTGTCTGCAGGCTGCCGGAGGAGGGGACTGCCCAATGTCACATTCTGTGACAGTGCAAGACAGAGGAACATTGAACCGGTTGTGACTGTTATTTTGCTGCAATAAAGACAGTGTAAGAGACACTTCAGAATGTCGGATGAAGACGAGGGGGCAGCTGCTCCTAGGCCGGGAACCAGCCGGGATGAAGATAACCCAGCTGCTTCTTTACATGCTGATGGAGGTAATCCTTTGGCACAGCTGCAGTCACAGATTTTGGAACTCAGTAATGTCAAGTATTACTAATTTGGGTGATGTTCAAACAAGGTCTATCGTTTACATTCCAAGAGAAAAACAGATTGTACCTTTTAGTGGTGAACCAGGGATAGATGCTCACACTGTAGACGAGTTTATAGAGGAGGTGCAGCGGGTGATGAGAGCAAGGAGTCTGCGCGGAGAAGAACAAGTAGACTTTATTCTCTTATTGCTAAAAGGCTCAGCCTTAGAGGAGGTGAAACTACGTATGGGAGGACAGGCTAAGCAACCCAGTGATCTGTTCTCATACTTGAGAGGAGCCTTTAGAGAGAAGCGCACTACTCCACAACTGTTACATGCTTTCTATGCTCGTAGACAAGTAGATGGGGAGGACTTGCGCGATTATTCACATGCTCTCTCACAGCTGCTCAATTCTGCTCTCCAACAGTCTCCTAATGCAGTAGCTGATGCACAGCTAGCACTTAGAGATCAGTTCATCGAAGGGATACGCGACTCCACTCTTCGCCGCGAGTTGCGTAGGCTTATCAGAGAGAAGCCCGACTCTAATCTGTTTGATGTACGGGAAGAGGCCATGATGTGGACTCTCGAAGACCGTCCACGGAACACTAATGTGGCAAGGAACCGAAACCTAGTGGGTGGCAGCACAGACGAGATCTCAGAACAGACTAACTTGACCAGTAGCACACAGGCTGACTTGACTGTGACTTTGCAAGAAGTGGTAAAGATAATTGCGCAACAGGGAAAAGCTATTGGTGAACTGACCAATGCTGTCAAAGAACTCACTATACAGAATGCCAGTTCAGAAGGTGGTAGTAGGGGTGGTCGACCTAAAATCCAGCCCAAGTACACTAATGACGGTCAGCCAATCTGTCTCCGGTGTGAAGGGGTGGGGCATATGGCAAGACAGTGCACTGCATCGCGCAAACCAGGAAGTCAGTCTCCCGTTATGCCTAGTCCTGCGGTGCAGGGAAACAGGGGCCCTCCATTGCTATGAGCCGGGCAATGCGAGGCAAGTCAGAAGGCTCAAAGAACACTCTAACCAAAGAACACTTTCTGGAAAGGGCTGTGGGCCAGTGCCCCGAAGTAGATGTCCAGATAGGTGGTGTCCACCTTAGGTGTTTGTTGGACACAGGAAGTAATGTAAGCACCTTGACAGAAAGCTTCTTCAGAGACCATCTTCATGGAGAAGATGAAGATATGCACTTTACAGCTAAGTGGCTTAAAATAACAGCAGCCAACAAGTTGCCACTACCCTACTTAGGCTATGTTGAGCTGGACATGCAAGTAATGGGGCTCACCATCCCAGAGTGTGGTTTCCTAATAATCAAAGATGATGGGACCAAAGAACCAGATTCATCTCCACCTGGCATTATTGGAATGAACATTGCCAAGCGGCGCAGACAGCTAGTACTCTCAGAGTTTGACACAACTCTAGGTGCAGGGTTAAATTCTGTTTGGAGAGAGGCCTTCCAGCGAGTACAAGAGGCAGAGCTTATTGAAAAGGCGTCCACTGCTCGTGTAGCAGGCAAACATAAAGTGCATATACCAGCCTCATCTGTTGCCACAGTCCATGCAAGGGGATTTAGGAGACCGTCTGATGGTGACTCCAGCATACTTCTTGAGCCGGGGAACACTCCCCTGCCTGGCGGGTTGATAGTTGTCCCTACTGTGGTCTCATCCAACAGTCATGTGTTCCCAGTCCAAGTCATTAACCTCTCCCAGGAAGATGTCTGGTTGTCCCCTAAGACTAGACTAGGTATTCTTAGCCAGTGTCAGTGTATTGAGGGTGACCCCTATGAGGTGAAGTTTCAACGTATTTCCTCTAGCCATGAGGAGGTGACAGTCACCCGAAAGGACAATAAAGAATGTGACAGTGACATGCAGAGCTTACTGGGCCGACTACACCTAGGGGGGACACCAGAGCAACAGGCAGAGCTAGGAGTGCTCTTGATGAGATATGCAGATGTGTTTGCAGCTCAGGACGAGGACCTAGGATATACTGATCAGGTGAAACATGAAATCCCTGTGGTGGATGAATCACCTGTCTCCCAACCCTACCGGCGCATACCCCCTAATCAATACCAAGAGGTCAGGGAGCACATTTCTGAACTGTTGAGAAAGGGAGTGATTCAAGAGAGCTCAAGCTCCTACGCTTCACCTATCGTTTTGGTGCGCAAGTCTGATGGGACTCTGAGACTATGCGTAGACTACAGACGGCTGAATGCAAAGACCAGACGCGATGCGTTTCCACTCCCGCGCATTGATGAAAGTCTGGATGCTCTGAGTGGGGCCAAATTCTTCTCAACGATCGATCTTGCAAGCGGATACCACCAGGTTGCTGTACATGAGAAGGACAGGAACAAAACAGCGTTCACTACGCCATTTGGCCTCTATGAGTATCTGAGGATGCCTTTCGGGTTGTGTAATGCGCCCGCTACATTCCAACGCTTAATGCAGGCTACAATGAGTGATCTAGTTTTCCAGATAGTGTTAGTCTATTTGGATGACTTGCTTGTGTTTTCACCAACATTCCAGGATCACCTAGTGAGACTAGAGACTGTCCTTAAGAGACTGAGGGATACGGGGCTAAAAGTAAAAGTGGAGAAGTGTCACTTTCTTCAGTCGGAGGTCAGGTTTCTTGGTCACCAAGTCTCATCCCAGGGCATAGGCACAGATCCTGATAAAATATGTGCAGTGAAGTTGTGGCCCATCCCTAGTACTGTAAAAGAGCTTAGGTCGTTTTTGGGTTTTTGCAGTTACTATAGGAGGTTTATTGAGGGTTTTTCCCAAATTGCAGGGCCTCTTCATGATGTGGTAAATACCTGTATGAAAGAGTGTAACCAGGCTAAGGTTAATCAGAAGTTCAGGTCAGCCTGGACCCCACAGAGTCAACTAGCCTTTGAGCTGCTTAAAGAAAAGCTAACTAGCGCCCCCACACTAGGCTACGCAGACTTTACCCACCCTTTCTTACTAGAGACAGATGCTAGTAGCTTAGGTTTGGGTGCTGTTCTCTACCAAGAGCAGGGGGGTAGGAAGAAAGTTATAGCCTATGCCAGTCGGAGGCTTAGAGGGGCTGAAAAAAATGACCAGAACTACAGCAGCATGAAGCTGGAACTCCTTGCACTAAAGTGGGCTGTCACAGAAAAATTTAGGAGCTACCTCCTGGGCTCTAAGTTTACTGTCATCACAGATAACAACCCCCTTTGCCACCTCTCCACTGCCAATTTAGGAGCCGTTCAGCAGCGATGGGTCGCTCAGCTAGCTGTGTTTGATTTCGATGTGAAGTATCGTCCTGGCCGATGTAATACTGCAGCTGATGCTCTGTCCCGGCAACCAGCAGGTGATGGACCTGAACCTGTCAGTGAGGATGCAGAGTACGATGGGTGCGTAGCGATATGTAATGCCCTTAGGACAGGCACAGAGCTAGGCCTGGATTTAGTAACTGCTGGGGTAGAGCACTGTAAGATCGGGCAGCTATGTGCATCTGAGGCAGGTGAGACAGTGATAAGTGAGGCAGTTCAGGATAACACACCCACTTTGCCTGGATATTCGAAAGCAGAACTACAGAGCTTTCAAGCAGCTGACCCAACAATTAGAGTGTTACGAGAATTTTGGAGCCAGCAAAAGAAACCTACCTACCAGGAGAAAGCAGATTTTCCTAAACCAGTGCGCTCCTTGTTGAGGCAGTGGCCTCGGATTAGAGAAAGGGATGGACTCTTGTACCGGGTGATGGAGGATGTTCACCTCGGAAGGTGTCACCAACTGTTGTTGCCAGCCTGCCTCAAAGAACAAGTGCTCAAAAGTGTGCATGACCAGATGGGGCATCAGGGTATAGAGCGGACCCTGGGTCTAGTGAGACAGAGATGCTTTTGGGGGGGTATGCATGAAGATGTCGAGCAGTGGGTGAAGAGCTGTCAGAGGTGTGTGCTGACAAAAATGCCACAGCCCAGGATTCAAGCGCCCCTAAAGCCATTCCTGGCTACTCGCCCACTTGAGGTAGTTGCTGTGGACTACACAACGCTTGAACGTGCCACAGATGGCAGGGAGAATGTACTTGTAATGACAGATGTATTCACAAAGTTCAGTCAAGCTTTTGCCACACGAGATCAAAAAGCAGACACTACTGCTAAAGTCATTCTAAAAGAGTGGTTCTTGAAATATGGGGTGCCTGAACGCCTGCATTCGGATCAGGGCAGAAACTTTGAAAGTGCAGTAATCGCAGAGTTGTGCAAGTTGTATGGAGTGAAGAAAACCCGCACAACGCCCCATCATCCCCAGGGAAACCCACAGTGCGAGAGGTTCAATAGAACTCTACACGACCTCTTGCGCGCACTCCCCCCTGAAAAGAAACGTCGTTGGCCTGAACACCTGTCAGAGCTTGTTTATGCGTATAATGCCACGCCACACTCAACTACAGGCTATTCACCCTACTACTTGCTCTTTGGTGTTCACCCCCCACCTCCCTATTGACGCACTGCTAGGTCAGGAGAAAGTGAAAGATGACATGCCTGACTGGTTGGCTGTACACAAGGAGCGTCTCCAGGATGCTCATGCAAGAGCAAGGGAGTGTGCTGAGCGGAAGGCTGCAGAAAGAGTAGCCCAGCAACAGGAGAGGGTTTACTGTCCACCTGTGGACGTGGGTCAATTGGTGTACCTCCGCCATCGACCACCAGGAAGGAATAAGATCCAAGACGCCTGGGCGGCTACTGTATACCAAGTTGTAGAAGTGCAGGGGACTACGTATGCAGTGGTGCCACTGGAGGGAGGGCCGGTAAAGAGGGTGCATCGGTCGAACCTGCGGCCATGTGTGGGATCAGTACCAGTGCTGAGGCGACGTCACCATACAGCCTTTCCCACAGATGAGCCTGCCTTGAATCTGGAATCAGAGAATGAGTTCACTGATCCAGAGTTTGTGTTGGTGGAAGAAGTCAGGTGTCCAACGACTGAACCTGAGATAAGTATGGAACCTGAGGGTTTGGATCTGATGACTGACAAGTCAGGGGCCCATCTGGGTGCTGCAGCTAAGGATGTGGAAGAAAGTGAGGAAATACTCGGACAGGATGTAAGTGACGATGATGACCTGGAGGAAGAGCCAGTACTGGGTCCACATCCAACATCAGAGAGTGTTGACCTGCCAGCTGTTGAACTGGAGCTGAGGCCTGTGCCTGCTCCAAGGAGGAGCAAGGAGGGAAATACCGGGACAGACATACCTATTCCCCCTCCACGCAGAAGTCAGAGAGCCACAGCAGGGATAAACAAAAACCCATTTCACTTACCCATGTCAGCGTGTAATGCTGTATCTCTTAGCCCAGATGTTTTCTCCCAAGTGTTAACAAGTGTGGTTCTCTACAGTTCAAAACTTAAGGGAGTGATAGATATGTAAGAAGTCACCGAGGACGTTGACTTGCAGCAGGGGAGAATGTAGCCAGGTGAACATGGGTTACACAGGGGTTTTCTCCTTAACAAGTGCTTTGTAATTTGCTTGTGGGATTAGTACTGTAGTAGCGTTCTTTTTCCCTCAAGGGGGCATTGTTACGCTATGGGCAGCGGAAAAGGGAAATCGCGTGTGAGAGCATAGTTTTGCCGAGACACCAGAAACAAGGAAGTGGCAGTACCAGGAGGTGACTGACTGCCGTGGTGTGTATCTTTGTTTATGTTTCAGATAAATATCCCTATAAATTTCGGTAAAATATGAAAATGGTTATAAGGGTCAGCAGATGAGATAACGATTAATTTAGAAGACTTAAGGCTGATTAATGATGATTTTGTATTCCTGACGATTTCTGTAGATCTGTAAATGAGTTTGTGTGCGTATCTCCGCCACGCTGAGGGCAACACTGAACAGCGGGGTTAGCAGGGGAGATATATGCGTGTTGAATTCCAGGTGTGTGTCTTGGAACACAGGCTGCACACTGGAGTGAAAGTGAGTTAATTGTACTACTAAATTGTTTCTGAATTGTAAGAATGTGTAAATGAAGAGAATATTTTGTATTGAATGTATTTTTATATTTCTCATGGAATTGAAGTATTTTATGTTGAAGTGACTATGAGTTACGTGGCTTAACAAATGTTTTTATTTTCTTTATTTAGAGAGGTGCCACTACTGTTGTCTAGAGTTAGCTAATGTCTGAAGTTCAGTTTAATGAAGTAAATGAAGCTGTATGAGTTTGAGCCTGGTAACTGTAGCTGGGGGTAGTCTACATACACCATTGTTCATCAACTGCTAAGGAGAACTGTTAAAGCAGATGCTTGTTGCCAGACAAGGAATAGGGAAAAGTTATCATTCCGTTTTGTTATATCTGTCCTAAATCCTCAAGAAACAATATTAATGCTGTTCTTTATTAAGCTCAGTCGGGGAATAAAAGAACCCACAAAAATAATTTTATTTGTGTACGGTCTCATCATTCGTGACCAGGCCACATATGTAAGAATTAAGACCACCTGTTAAATTCGTATTCGGCAGGAAATTACATATCAGCTCATAATTGCTGCCAGCTAGTTAGCTCAGTTAGCTAATTTTAGCTTTAATTATTTTCAGTGCTTGTGTGGTTGAATAAGTCATAAAATGTATTATATATTTCCTGATGAGGCTGTATTGTGTTATTTTAAATAACCTTAGTAGTTTTTCTATTAAACCTGTAATAGCTTTTAAATTTGACTGATTGGTAAAAAGGCCAATGTTACATATACGTTGAACCTATGCCATCAGCTGCTGTTTCCATCCTGTTTTCTTTCTTCACACCATGTAAAAGCTCATTGTAAAAGTTTCCAGAAGTGCATCCAGACATGAAGTCTAATTGCGAAGCTGCTCACAGCTGTCCAGCGTGCAACCAGCGCTAAGCTACAGCAGTTTTCAGTAGTTTCATGCAAGGCTGCTTTTAATAGCTGCTGCCCAACCAGCTGCCCACTGGGACAAATAAAACTCAAACTCCTAAGTATGTGAGAAAAAAAGACCGAAAGAGGGATTAAGAGATGGAGAAAGAAACAGAAACAGACAAAGAGAGCTCCTGGGCCTACAGCTCATTTAAATAACTGAGTCCGGGTGAAGATGTACAGGGATTACAACTCGCTGTGTAATTCCTCACATCCTAGTGTAGATAAAAATAAATAAAAAGATGGAGAGAATCAGAGAAAGATAAAGTTTTAGGCCTCATGTTGCCAGTTCTATCCCGCTTTTAAGTGTCAGGTTATCTTTCCAATGGTTGGGTTTCAAACAAACTACGTAGGCGATCTGTGGCGTAGATCTCAGTCAAGGGCTTAACTACAATGAGTGTTCCAGGACAACATAGCTTATTTCCAGGATATTTGGTCATCTTAATCAATTCCCAGGTGTTTCAATGACTGGAAAACTAGCCTATAAATTCCCAGGTTTACCAGGAGGCGTGGGAACCCAGAGTTTCCATGGAACTCACTCAGCAGTTATAGAACATATTAATGATATGGAATACATCTTCCTTAAACAGTACCTGCACACCTATGTTACACCCACACAAATGACTTTCATTAATCAGCCTGATTAGACCTCTGCTCAGGTCTGAGTGGGTGTGACATGACTCTTCTGTTAGCTTCATGGCACCAGTCAGTGTGGGACAAAATCACACCTTTATCACTTTAATTAAAGAATACGGTGACCTCACGTACATCTGAGCACGTTTCTGTCCGCTTTTAACCTGAGTGGACAGTTCATCAGTGGAATTAACCAATGTGGGGGTGTGTGAGGGCTTTAAACCTGTGGTTACAGGTGGTAAAAGTTTAAATAATACAGGTTTCTGAACCAATGTTGTCCAGTACTTGCAAGAATAATTTCTGGTGGGTTCTGAATTCTATACCTATCCAAAGGCCTATCTTTGAGTTTTCGTTCCTTTAGAATGAGTCGTTTTTTTATTTACTGGCTTTAGATTCAACATTTTTCAGCACATTTTGTGGCCACCATAGGTTCTCGCGCTTGGAAAGGGATGGGAAGTGTGTGAGTTACACACTGGTCCTCTAATTTCTTTGATTATAGGTACAGCTGAAGAAATGGTGGCCATAAATAGTATCAGAATTGGCTATATTGATACTAACGATTCTAACTTTTCTTTTAATTGTCAGAGCTTGTTTGTGATGCTAAAACTACACATTTTCTTTTAACTACACGTCCCAATTATTACGTCTAATTATTATTAGAATTTCAGTACAAACCTGAACAAAAACCCTGAAAACGAATCATTTCTGTGAAAAAATGCGTTGTGATTCAGCATGTTTTCAAGCTGAACTTTGTACGTATATGAAATGAACATCATGATAACCACAGCGGCAAAGCAAACGTCTTCACAGCTTAAAACAGGATTGAATCAGTGACCCTCTGATTCCTGACACAACACCATAACAGAGGCTTCTTTGCACAGCTGCACACACTTCTGGGTTTATATATTTTTCTCCTCGAGTTCCTCCGGCGTCACCATGTAATATAGATTTGAGGGACACCCAGACTGTCAGTGATGGAAGTCAGCCCCAGCCAAGCAGAACCACGCCGACTATAGAGCCGGAATGTCTTCCCTCCCCGCTGTGATTCCTGCAGGATGAGAGTCCGAAGTCAAGTCAAACCGGGGCAGCATGTCAGACGGCCCTCCACTCCTCAGCTTCCAGAATCCAACTTGTTTCTGCTCTTTTTCACTGGGGCTGAGCCGATGACTCACTCTGCTCTGGTTATCTCGGCTCAAATTTATACAGGGAGGGGGTGCTGAGGAGTTTTGGACAATCTCACAGACCGATCCTCGATCAAACGTTCCCGTGGTTCTGTATTCTTAGAGCATACACTCGAACGTAAGATTGAAAACACAAATGCACACATAATAGACCTATTCCTGAACCACTCAACCAGCTCCATCCACAAAATAATAATGCACCACATCACAGAATACTGATGTTTTTCCACTTCATCTCTGCTGGTTGCTCGAATCCGGTGAGAGCTGCCATGTAAACAGGGATGGATTCAAACAGAACATATGCTCAGACACAGTAAAACCTCCTCATGGTGAGCTCTGCTGTTTTGAATTTTAATGTTCTGAATCACTTGCAGGATTCTGCAGCTTTTGGGGGTGTGAAAATTTTAAAAACAACTTTGGATATGTGGAAAACGTGAAATCCTTTTTCAAATTCCTTTGTCAAATCAACTTTAAAGGTTATGAAAACAGAGTTAAGAAATGAGGATACATAAAGTTAATGGCATGTGAGCGAGTCCTGCAGTACAGAAACGTTTTACGAGTATCGTCAAATGTGTCAATATCCGCACACAGAAGTCTCTTAAAGCACCTCCCACACCCTGTTTAAGCCCCGCCCATTTCAGTTACAGACACAAGCTAATAGGTAACAGTGTAGTCGCTCATCCTTAGTGTTTGCCTGTTGTAGCATAGAATTTTCTTTATGTATTCATGTATTTTATATTACAATTACGGCCTTGGGGCAACACAAAAATCCATACACAGGAGCTCTTCCCACAGCAGCAGTGATCACCATGATGAGGTTTTCTGTTTAAATCCATCCTCAGTAGATTCGAGCAACATGTCAGGATGCCACCATGTTGTACAAGAGTTCGTGTTAACATGTGACAGCCTCACTGCGAAACTGCAGACTCACTGTGAAAACATGGCTCGTTCCAAACAATTGGATTACAAAAAGGCCCTCAAGTTAAGGAGGGAAAAAAAACTGTAATTGAACCTGCTTCCAGAGGCTGAAGCAGCAGCGAACACACTCCTTGACTCGAGGGCCTTTCTGGGATCCAACTTTGCATGACAAAACTGTCTGAGAGAAATTACAACAAAAGGCAAGGTCAGACAGAAGGAGGGTGAAGAAAGAAACATAATACGCAGACAAAGTGATGTCTGTATGAAAACAATTCTGTAACCATCAGCGTAAACACAGACTTCACATCCAGGAGCTCCAGGCTCCTGTCAGCCGTGTCCCCCCAAGCTCAGGGGCTCCCGGCTCAGGTTACAGGCAAGGCCACGCCAGCCTGCATCTGAACAAACACTACGCAGAGGCTGTGTTTACAGCGACCGCTGAAACGGACACAATTCGAATATTTTTTCTCAACACGTGGCACAAAACTGATGTGGGAGTTTTCAGATCTGTTTGGGGCCAAATTCAAATATAAAACTGCAAAAATACTTTCATCTGGAGTCCATCTCTGTATCCAGTTCCCCAAACTGGAGCCCCATTCATTTCAATGAAAGTTACCCACAAGTTCTTCAGGTTATTGAGCGTGAGCATTACAGTCCTTCTGTAACCGAGTTGCACACATGAATGGTATTAAAGTTATTATGAAAGTTAAGGTAGTCTGGATTTGGACCAAAAGGCTAAAATTGTTTTAAAACTGCATGTTTTTTGCCCAAAACTGTGTGGGATTAGCATCAACCCAGTTTCAAATATTTGACAGATCTTCAACATAAGACTCCTAAAATCTGCAAGATAGACTCAATACATACATTTTGAGAAGGCAGGATGCAATTTACAGTTTTGTGGGCTGTAGCAGAAAAGTAATGTAACTAGTAGTATCACTTATTACTGTTATCAGGGAGTAATACGAAAACCAAGGTTCCCACATAAACTGGAAGACATGAGATACAGACTAGTTTTCCAGTCATAGAAACGCCTGGAATGACCAAAAATCCTGGAATGATTTATGTTGTCCTGGAAAAAGGTATTGTAGCTCCTTGCCTACATCGTGATACTCACCGTGAGCTCTACATAATTAAAAAATGTAAATTATATGACTGTAAAGTGCTGTCCTGCAGTGTGAAGAAAAACTAAGAGCAGGAATGCTGGACAAGAGACATACAGTACGATATATTGCCATCAGATTAACGTAAAGGGGGCCGGTCTGAGTGGAGCTGAAGAGGCTGTGAAAGGAGGTGTGTGTGTGTGTGTGTGTGTGTGTGTGTGTGTGTGTGTGTGTGTGTGTGTGTGTGTGTGTGGTCATGATGTTCATGATTTTGAAGGTGAACGTGACTCCGAGCCGCCTGCTGCAGTTAGAGATCCTCAGAACTGACTGATGAGGTGATTTAAGGAAAACCCAGAGAGGACAGCATGTACTCACACACATGCACGCACACATACAGACAAACACACACACACACACACACACACACAGACACACACACAGGTTACAAGGCAGCTGTATGTATGCAGAGACACGTACATATAAAGGCCATATGGAAACACACACACACAGTGACAAACTGAATATGCACACACACCCACCTGCTTTGATTTTACACACAAACATGAGCCTGAGCGTAAAAACTTTACTGTATGTACTCGCACACTCTCTGCACAGAAAGGTCAAAAGTCAACACTGGAAGAAATGTGGACAACAACAGTACAGCCCAGAGTTATACAT